CTGTAGTAGGAGGTCACAGTCTATAGGTGCACACTTTGCAGTTTGTAAAAATCAGTGTGCCTTTTATAAAGAGGATGGATATTGAAAAGCCGAATGCCTAAAGTTAGATCGAGTCGGAAAAAATAAGGGAAAAGCTGTTCAGAGGCGAATGTTGTCAAGTCTAGTGACAACAATTCAGATTCGAATTCTCCAGACTATTTGTTATATACACTACCATCAGTTTGTGTTGCCAACTCTACTGAGTGGATGTTGGATTTAGGTGCTTCTTACCATATTTGCCCTATGAGGGATTGGTTCTCTAGCTTTCAGGAGTTGGAAATAGGGGATGTCGTGCTCATGGATAATGAACATGCATGCTCTATTGGTAGTATTGGTTTCGTTCGTATCAGGATGAGTAACAGGATGATTTGGGAGTTGGATGAAGTGATGTTCGTTTCTCAGTTGAAGAAGAACATCATTTTCTTTAAAGTTTTGGAGGCAGTAGGCTATAGGGTGACCTTGGTGGATGAACGTTTGAAGGTCACATTGGGGTCCATGATTGTGATGAAGGACATCAGAAAGAGCAACTTGTATTATTTGCTTGGAAGCACGATGATTGATAGAGTGCTGACGACTTCTTCGGATTTGGCTAGACTGTAGCATTGTTTGAGGTTGGGATATTTGGTTATTGGTACCATGCATTGTTTGTTGAGGAGTGCTTTGACCTGTAGTTTGAAGTCCTATGAACACATTGGTACGAGCGAGAAGACCAAGGTAGAGTTTAGCACTTCTATCCATCGATCGAGGGGTCTTCTAAGGGGTGCTCATTCAGGCATTTGGGGACCTTCCAAGGGGCATCATTAGGAAGTAATATGTATGTAGTTTCATATGTTGGTGTCTGTTCTAGGTATTGGTGGGTTGTAACCAAGTCCCGTTGGTGTGAAGTCCTAGAAGTCAACAAAAGTTGGAGGAAGTGTGTTGGAAGAAAGGTAACATGCCATTCTGTTTTAGGTAGGGGTTCTTTTCTACGTTTGTGCCAAGCTCATGGAAGTTGGAGACACTTCATTAGAGAGGAAACATTAGGGAGACAAAATGAGATGGCAGATTTGGTGAGATGTTCCTTACTAGAGGAGGATCGACGTTTGATGTCAAGCATTGGTTTTGGTGTTCGGGCTTCGACATGTTTGGGCCATCTTATGCATATGTTACCGACTGCTGCATTTGGAATTGTTGAATCTGGTAGAGCTGCTTCAGATTTTGGGTTACGTCGGATGATTGGTTGCCCATCATTTGGTCACATCGTGGATGTGAGATTTGATCCGATTGCACATTTAGGATTGATAATCATATTTTATTATAATTTTATACCCTCATTATCTATTTTATATGAATAAATATACCACTAATAATTATTTTTATCTTTTAATTGCAGGTTAATGAAGAATAAATCTCAACTTCCCATCTCTCAACAAAAACCCATTGATTAAATGAAGAAATGAAGCAAAGAAGCACATTGGAAAATCAATTTCCAAATTATCCAAAAGCCCAGAATGAAGTCGTGTAGCCTGTAGAAGCCGGAGAAAATCAAAAATCCAATATGAAAAGAAATCATATTCAAAATGGTTGGCCACAAAGAAACGACGATATCTCCTAATCCGGAAGGCGGAATTTAACATATAATATATGAAAATCGCCTATCTCGACGAGACGAAGCCAACCGTGAAGTCAGAATTTTTATTAGGGCATCGATGCCAGCATCGATGCAGGCATCGATGCCGGTATCGATGCCAGCATCGATGCCCACATCGATGCCGACATCGATGCCCAC